GATTTCTCCTCTCAGACACTCCATTTAACTGAGGTGTCCCCGGAGGAGTGAGTTGGGATAAGATCCCATGCTCTTTCAGATAGTCATCGAACTCCAGGCTTAAGTATTCACCTCCTCGATCCGAGCGGAGGGTCTTAATACTTTTGCCTAATTGTTTTTCTACTTCGTTCTTGAATTCTTTGAATTTGTCAAAGCATTCCGATTTGTGTTTCATGAGATACACATATCCATATCTACTAAAGTCGTCAGTAAATGTAACAAAGTAAGAATAACCACCTCTAGCTACAGTGCTAATTGGACCACAAACATCGGAGTGTATGAGGCCCAATAAGTAACTCGCCCTTTCACCGTGACCGGTGAATGGAGCCTTTGTCATTTTACCAAGTAAACAAGATTTACATACATCATATGACTCGAAGTCAAATGAATCAAGTACACCGGAACGATGTAACTTAGATATGCGTTTCTCGTTAATGTGGCCCAAACGACAATGCCAAAGGTACGCGAGATTCAAACTGTTAGGTTCGTTTCTCTTAACATCTACGTTATATATTGTGGTATCCATGTCAAGGACATAGAGACCGTTGGTAATTTTTGCACTTGCATAAAATATATCATTTCTAAAGACAGAAAGAGTTTTGTCTTTTACAACGAATGAAAATCCTGCTTTGTCAAGGCAGGATACAGAAATGATGTTTCTGCTCATACTAGGTACAAACAGACAATTATTCAAATGCAATATTAGACCACTAGGTAGAGATAAACTATAGGTTCCGACGGCCAATGCATAGACGAGTGCACCATTGCCGACTTTTAGTTGTATCTCTCCCTCCGTCAATTGTCTACATTCATGCAAGTTCTGCATAGAAGTACAGATGTGAGAACCACATCCAGTATCCATCACCCAAGAGGTGATATCAGACATATTGACTTCGATAACGTAGATACCTGAATTTTGGGGCAGACCCTGGTAAAGGTCTCTTAAGCGTTGTATCATAGGACGCACTTCCATGTCCGCGTGGAGCCTTTGGAGCTCTGCGGTCATACTGGCCATAATGATACACTTTACATCTCACGCGTCGTCCTCATACTTCTTGAAGGAAGTGAGTTCGGACGCACGAGCATTAGCATCAGGGGTCTTGGGAGGATCCGTTTCGAGGATGTAGAGTTTCCTCTCACGGTTAAGAACGATTCGGAGGTTCATCTCCCAGCCAAGAAAGTTGGTCCCGGATAACTTGTTGTTTTCCAGGATGTAACGCAGGTTGAAATGGTTGTTAGTTGTTGTTTGCCATCTATAGAAAATTTTGCAAACTAGGTTACCTATCATGTTTAATAATTAATTAGGCCTTTAATTAATTATCTCCCACTATTTTTAACAAATCAATAACCCTCAATATTGATTCGTAGATTTCCGGCGAAACCTTTAGTGGGCCAAGATCCATATTTCATTATCTTGCGTTCCGCTTGGGCGTTACTCCACAAGACAACTTTTTAGGTAGGAACATAGTTCCAACTGATGAGCCGGGCTCTCAGCTCTTGGTCTGGTGTTGGGCGAACAATATTACTACAACCGGACCAAGACACCTTTTCACCATACTTGTAATTGGCTGAGGCACGTCTTACAAGCAGACTACTTTGGTTAGGAACAGAGTTCCAATTAAATCATAAAGATCCAACTCCTGGCTGGATGAGTGAGTAAAATCATCCGACTTGTCCTTGATGACCTCAACTTACTGCCTTTGAGTCGTCCATCCATTTGACCGAGACTCAGTTAAGTCTAACCCAACGTGCGACAGTGACCACGCTATGGCGGTTCCCGTAACCAGCTTAACATACACTGTACTATGCTCTGCTGAGGCTGAGTACATGACAGTGCACATTAGCCGGATAGGTGCCGGGCGTCAGAAGGCAACAGACTTAATATTCGTGAGGGATTTATAATTTCGATCTCACCTATCGACATGGCCGCACACATGTCCATTACTAGCGTTCAACATACATTCAACATGCATTCACAAAACGCAGTAAATAAATGTGTAATAATTGTGGCCCCTAAAAGAAAAATAAAACGATAGCTCCCACTGGCTTCTGGGCACTTAGACTTCGGGCTATCTCCATTCTCTTAGATTTCTTCAAACGGTCTTCAAATCTTTTCCGTCTTCTAACCACCACGTGAGAAAAGAATCCTCGGTTGAGGTAAGAGAGAGAAATAGATTTACAACAAGAGTTTATGAGATAATGCACGACACGCAGGCCGTATTATAATCAAATAAACTATAGTCACAATCATCCACCATGCATATCATACATCCACACAAGCAATAGAGATATACATACACTGGGTGAACCACGCTCACCCCAAAGAGTTCTAGAAATATACTACGACAGTAAATATTTTCTAAAACTCATAAAATTAAATTAGATGTCCAAATAAATCTAATAAAATTTTATAAAATCATTTTATATAATCTGGATATTCAGCCAGCATGAAAACAAATTCCAGAATATTTCAAATGACCAAAATTCCCTTTTTGCAAAATTATATTCAAAAAGGCCATTAAAATTTTGAAACAATTTTGCAAAAATCATAAAAATTAAATTTCAACTTCCAATAATTATTTTCAACATTTATAAACCTGGAAATAAAATTTCCAAAATTTATAAATCATTATTTCCAAAATAAATTAGTTAAATCTCAATAAGTTATAAAAGGCCATTTAAATTATTTTTGAAAACATTAAATTATAAAAATTTAATATTTTGAAAAACATTCCTTTTCTTACTGAGATATAACTTTCCAAAACATATATTAGTCATTTATGTAATTAAAATACAAATATATAAATATATATAATATTTCGATAATAATACCAAGTACATATATAAATATATACTTATTTAATTACTAACTAATATTATTTTGCACAACATATTTATCAACAACCTTATTTAACATAGAAATAATATTTCCAAGTTTAATAAAGTTCATTTTGAATTTTCCCATATTTATTTTCGTTTTTCACCTAAATAAATACAATAAATTCAAAATAGGAAATAATGCATTCAAAAATTACAATATAATTTTATCAATCATAAAATGATGTTTTATGTCCAAATAAAATTATATTTACTATTTATACAATATATATAAATATATATTTCGAAAAATCAAAATATATTTATTTATATATATATATTACAGGTAGAAATAAAATAAATAAATTTAAAATTCATTTTCAATGATTTATTTAAGTCCAATACTTATTCCAAGACTAAATAAAATTATTTTACCAATTTTTGAATTTTAATAATTACCAAGTTAAAACTTTGACTTTTAAAATTTTAAAAGTCAAAAACTATAGTTTTGTACGTTGGCTCCGATACCACTGAAAGGTAACCATGCAAAGATAGGCAGCGGAATATAAAAAATTTTAACATCCTAACATGATTATCTTGCCCAGAATCACGTACTAAAACTTATAGTAGTAAGAAATTTATACCTTTCTCCGTAAGCGGTAAAAACGAAGAAGTCGTAGGAAGAGCGTTGAAAGTGCAAACGTAACCGTTCAAGCGTCCGGTCTCCAACTTTGACACACGAACAACGCCGGAGTCTACCACAATCTTTATGCTAGTAAAGATTATAGTAGTATAAAATATAAAGATTAAAATTGGGATAATAATAATCTTGTATATTT